AGATTCCACGGTCAGTACTGCTTTTGGCAGGACTGGAGATGATACAAGATAGAATAAAAGGCTAAAGATATATTGAGAAAAGGAGAATGCATCCATCCATCCATCCATCCATCCATCAATACCAGTCATCCAGTACAGGATCACAGTGACCTTACAGCTTATATCCAGGAGTAAATATAAGGTATAAGGCAGAGGACACCATAGACGGGAGGACAGTCCACTACAGGACAGACAAAATAACTACATGTAATACACCTGTAACGATTCATAAAACATCCTACCTGATACTGTAATTGAAATATCATTGCTCATTTCAGACAACACTCTTCTCCTTCTATACTGCCCTCTGCAGGTGTACTGTCCAGTGTCTGACCGAGTAACAGAGAGGATTCTGTATTTGTGTCCAGTTTCATATCTCTGAATTTCCTTCTGATCTCTGTACCATTTATACTCCCATTCAGCAGAGTCACCCTGAAGGCCACACCTCAGAGTCACACTCTCAGTGGTGAAGATCTCAGTCCAATTGGACTCCAGGGTCAGTAGTGCTTTTGGAAGGGCTGCAGATGAGAGATGGTGGAGTAGAACATTGAGCGCATAAAGACTAAAGGGGGTTATATCTGACAGTTAAAAATGTGTCATAATAACAAAAAAACATGCAACTAATGGCACAAAAACACAAAATAATTCTGCAGTAACACAAAAAGTTCTCTTTAAAAAATCCTACCTGAAACTCGAATTGCAAACTCGTTGCTCGTTTGAGACCACAGCCGACGCCTTGCATACTGTCCTGCGCAGAAGTACCTGCCAGAGTCTGCCAGAGTAACGGAGAGGATTGTATACGTCTCTTTGTGCACAGAAATCACCTGCCCATCTCTGTACCATGTATACTGCCACTGAGTAGAATCACCATGAAGTTCACATCTTAGAGTCAGGCTTTCTGTGGAAAAGATGTCTGTCCATCCAGACAGTAAGACTAATCTGGCTTGAGGGAGAGCTGGAGATTCTAGCAAAAGAAAAAATAACTGAGCAATGACAACAACAAGCAAAATCTTTCATCTCATGGTAAACTTTTTCAATAATGTCTTTTTCATATATAAGCAGGATTACACTGCAAGAAAAAACATTAACTCTTCAGTTTACTCAACTCAAATGAACTCAAATTAACTAAAAAAAATGTTAAGACATGTTAGTTACAGCCTGTAGCATTAGCACAAGATGTCATTTTCTCCCCAACGCCTTGGTGAAAAGTAGCATGTGCTCACGTAGAACTGTGTCACTGTGAGTTAGTAAGTTACTCTTCATTCACATCACCTCTTTATTATGAAATTGTGTCCTGTATGTGTTAGCTAATTAATTAAAAATGAAAATACACTTTTCTGGCTTTTGTTAGGCAGATGGGTTTTTTATATCTCAGATCAAAGAAATAGCATAGTAACTTACCAGTGATTCTTACTGTGTGTGGAACACTGGATATTGTCAGTGTGTTGGTCATTGCTGTACACCAGTATTGTGCACTATCAGCTTTTATAGCGTTGTGTAGGGTGTATGTAGAGAAGTCTGACCCGGAGTAGCTAAAGAGTCTAACTTTCTCCGTGGATGACTCTTTAATCCATGAATATTTCCAGTCTGTGTCGGGATCGGAGCCTGTCACCCTACAGGTGAGGGTGACTGTTTCTCCTGCAGCAACATCTGACCACGGAGGATCAATGGTGACACTGATCCCTGGATAGGCCCCTGTTTTTTGTTTTGTTTTGTGTGTAATATTTTATATAGGTTATTGATTCATATAGCATTAAATTGCCTGTGACATACCAGCATCATCATGCGATACAAATTGTGTCATTTAGTATAAATTCGATCATCCTAGCAAAAAATTCTGTAGGTAATTCAGAAATATACTTTTATTCCCAAGAAAATTCTAAGCAAATAAAATGAACATAACATACAGTAAAGTTCATTTGGCTTACCTTCTTCCCGGGCTGAGTAAAGCAGTATAATGAGTACTACGATAAAAATGGCAGGTTTTCAGAGTAGATAATTTAACATAAATAATATACATAAATATTCTATAAAGGTAATTTGAAGACCCAAATATTTTATGTACACTCCCAATGTGCAACTACAGATGTTACTGCAGGTAAGAATTACGTATTCAGTATGAATTAAGCTTTATTTACCACAGTATAAAAATAACAATTTAATAAATTCTCACTAAAATATATTTTTCCTTACCTATTTTAATAACTAATGGCTGCATATTTGTGTCCTCCTTAAGTCTTGTTCTCTGCTGCCTGTAAGTGCTGATCTGTGCATGAACGTGCATTGTACTGGCCTTTTCTGGTTTGTTCTCTCACGCACAGAAACTGAGAAAGCATTACAGGAACATTATCTTTAGCCATACATTTACCAGGCACGTATGCATACCGTACACCACTGGGGAAAAAAATACCTTTTAAAACGCCATCACACCACAGACCTATACTGGTGTTCTAAAAGGGGGTTTTAATGATGGCCCAATATAATTCAATTGTACTTAAATTTGAATTCTTTTAATTATGTTTCAGTTGTGGAATTTTTAATTGCAGATGGACAGAAGGAATTCAAAATAATCACTTTGAAATTGGAGATTTCTTTATAGAAGTCTGGTGTAGGAGGAGGTCCCCCAGACCGATCCCCGAGAAACTCCCCCCCCAAAGGCACCATCCTTTACACACAGCAGGAGTGCTTGTTCTTATGCAACCCCATCAGTCAGTCCCTCCTAAGTCACGTCAATTTCCTGGCACAGATACCCTGATTTGACACAGATACCATGATTTGGCATAGATACCTTGAATTGGCACAGATACCCTGATTTGACACAGATACCCTGATTTGATTCAGTTCAGTTTGATTTGATATGAATCCGATAGGAAAGAGATATGAAATATTATATAGCAGCTTATCATATTTGGGGCGATGTCTAAAAAGCATGGTAGTGCAGTGGTTAGTGCTGTTGCCTCTGGGACCTGCAGGTTGCACAGGTGTAGAGTTTGCACATCTTCATCTTCTCCTTGTCGTCACGGGGTATCCTCCCCGGGTACAGCACGCCCCCCCCCACACACACCACCCTGCAGTCCAAAAATATGCTGAGGCTAATTGGAGTTACCAAATTGCCCAGAGGTGTGCATGTGTGAGTGATGTAGGAATTATTAGCTCAGGTCAATTTTAATATCTCCACCAATATTGTCACGCCCACAGAGGTGGGGCAGCGCAGCACTTAGCAATCATCCTCATTTGCCGGACCTATACTTAAGGCTTAGCAGTACTGACAGCCGGTGCGAAGTATTGTTGCCATGTACCGGAGCATTACCGAGCGTTTACCTGTCTTGTGTTTCCTCTCCTTTCCCTGCCTGTTTCGCCGTGCCCTGCTGTCCCGCCTGCCCTGCATCCCTGCCTGGTCC